AATTGTTTCTTAATAAAGTTCTCGCATATGATAAGTTCAGCTCTATTGTAATAACACATATTACACACTTAAATTCAATACTTTTATACAATAATTATTATCATAATATCATGTTATTATCAATATACGAAGCGCGCGTCGTGTGTGTCGTAGTATCTCATAGGATAATTATCTATTCTCCTTGACACTTTATTACACATGGAAGCGTACATCTTAAAACAACAATACACTCATTAAGAGGGGATTGTATTTTCATGACCCGCTGTCCGAGTCTGATCGAATTTACACGATCATTAACGATCTTTAATGACCCAAAAGACAGGCATATGACCAGCTTCCAGACCAGCGGAGCGTCAGTTCTTCTTCCTTAGCCTTCACTTTCCTTTCAACACACTTTCGCCTGTTTCGGGTAGCTACTATTGTAGTGCGACGTAGAATGTACACTTAATCTGTTCATACCTCCGTGCTTCGTATGAACATTGCTAAATATTCATCACATATCCTCTACATATATATTTCCACTATACGAGATCTGTATAGCACACGTGTCGCATTCACTTAAATTATAAAAATATCGTTGTTCATTCGTTTCTTCAATGACCTTTACTGTTATCCTAATGAACCGATCGCCAAAGTACATAAATCAATTTTAATGGTTTAACTAGCCTGGCTACATTGTATGAGGTTAATTTAACCAGCGAGCTATATAGTCTGTTATAATAATTCTTTGGTGTTGCTACTATTAGCACGTATTAAATTATAAATTATATATGCTACGAAACTTTATATAGAATTGTACTCTGTCGAGATAGGTCAATAATAAGGGTAGCGTTATGACGCGAGCACTTAAAACACGCTATTAGTGTCTGTGGTCATATAGCCACCGGTCTTGGTTGCGTATACATACATATATACTTATATACGATAAACGTCGAACACATCTTGACAGCATCAATTACACACACTAAAGGATAAAATATTATATCCACACAAAGGTACGACATCATAATAATAATAAATACGTAATGATAGAACTAGGTATAGCGGAAGGATCATAAAATAGTACATATTCATGCCCATATTCACATATAAACATTTCTCTCCATCTAATTACCTTTACTACCTTTTTTTTTTTTTTTGTAGAACCCGAAATAAGATGTTTACACATAACTATTGTGAGTACTTTTCGCGGCTCACTTGGTTTTTTTTTTATTACGTTAATTTTTTACCTATTACGCTGCCAGCTGTCAATTTATTAACCATTTAGTAAATTCTAATTAAATTTTCAATACTTTTATACAAAAACTAAGTTAAGGGAAAACTTATAGTTCTCACGGCCAAAATACTAGAATTTGAGCTAGTCAAAAACAGAGTTGTGTATCATTCGAATAAATCGTTATATAATTAATATTCTTTTTTGAGCAATATCTATTCGAATCGTTTTCAAATATATTATTTAAATGGTTCGTACGATTTTGTTTAAGAAATTATTTTTAGAGCATAATTTTTTTAAATACAATACATACCTATAAAATTTATAAAATATATAAAAGCCGGATATCAAGGAAAACTATTTGTTATTCGAATAAATTGTAAATAAAAAATATACAGGAAAGTTCAAATGTCTATAAAAAAAATGCTTTAAATATTTTTAAATTCTTCAAAAGTCGTGCCCATACTATACTTTATTTAGGTCGTTAAAAAATAATATCTAACAAAAACAAAAAATTATTACTTATTTGTAAATTAAATTAAATTTTTGTGTTTGTAAATTTAATTAATGTCAAAAACCGATACACAATAATGTTGTCAAGTCCCAGCAAACGAAAAATTGTTTGGAAAAACACTGTACAATACTTTAAACTTATTAAGAAGACTTCTCAGTTGGAAATGTTTTCGCTCAAATTAAAATACTAGTAATAGTAATTATTATAAAAATAGAGTCAAGTTAAAAAATATGGACCAGCCTTAATGTGCACAGTGTAATTATTTTCTACAAAAAATGAAATTTACAGGTTTCCGTTAAAGTGTTTAGGCGTCCATAGGCTGCCGGTGTCTGTGGTGATGCAGACGCCGACCGGATGGGCATTGACCAGATCCGGGTTGCGCGTAGTCTGTTCCTCCAGCAGTAGATGAACTGCACCAGTTTCCGGTGTCCGTCGTGAATGGCCGCGTGGGACTGAGCTGTGAGCATAGCCACCGAAACACTGCTATTTGACGATGATGTCTATGATCGCCAAACAGGTTAAAGTCTCGCAAGGCCGACTTGGCATTCGGGCGATTCATCCGGATGTTCGACGGCGATTCCGAAGTGGACTTCAACAAGAAAGCCCAAATGGAATGCTTCACTTGGGGTCTGCCCAGCGCCATCGACCGTGACCCATCCGCTTGGCTCGACTACGATGTGGAGTACTCGTCGGTCACTTAGCAGTGTGGCCGTCACCGCCGTCGTCGTACTATTCCTGTCCATCGGCGTTCCTGTTCTACGACAAACCGTCCGTGTTCTGCGACCGGCAGTCAGTGTTTTTCTACGCGTTCGGCACGTTGATCGGCAGCCAAAGCCGCAGCAGGTGTTCCAATCCAACTGGCGTACCTGGGCAGCATGATCACCATCCCGCAGGCCGAACCCGAAATCGACAACCAACAGTCACTGCTGAAAACCGACTTGGGCCTAATCGGGCGCCAGCAATTTACTACCGATCAACTCGTCGTCAGGCTCAGGCAACGATTACCAGGCGCTGGTCCGGTGGTACCAAATTATGCCGGCCGAACATTTCGGCTATTCCGTCCGGCGCATCTTGACGGCTAACGACTCCGTCGTGTTGGCGTCCAGGCGCAAACGGTACACGTGCGAAACCAGCGACACCAGGCGGTTGCACGAGCAGTCGTCCACGGACGTCGTCGAGTCATATTCGTCCACGCTTTTAGTGCGCAAGGGCTCGCCGTTTTGGCACCGGATCGGCGTCATCATTTCGCGCCTGTCCTAGACGAGAATCATGCTGCGCTGGGACCGGGACAACGACGCGACCGGCCAAGTGTTCGCCGAAACGACCGTGTCGCAAGTGAACGGGCCGTTTTTCGGACACTCGTTTGCGCTGTGCGCGTTCGTCTGCGAGACCGTCAGTTGTTTGAAAACCCAGCTGAAATCGGTTCAATTTCTACATTAAATTTTATATTGTTATTTACTATATTTAATAACCGAACCTAACCTAAAAGTATTACAACACATTTGTTTAACCAAAAAAAATCTATAGTCAATGCAAAACAAATTAATATCGTTATTATAAATTAAAAATCATCAAAAGAATAGATTACAAATGTTACTTTATAAGGTTTGAAAAGTTGTATTTTATGACACAAATAAATTATTTGTATACATTATTCATGTATTTAACTAGTATACAAATTAACTATTAAATAAGATTTAAAATAAGAATACAATTTAATGTACATAAAATATACTGAATTGTACATTATAAAAACTTTAGATAGGTAAAATCAAAATATCAAATTACTTTACTTGATTATCAAAGACATGGATTCTCCTCTTTGTCAACTTGATAATAACTTCAAAGTTCAATATAATTCTACTTTACTCTAAAAAAAATCTAAACATGCATGCATATTTAAATTATTAAACAGGTGCTATAAGAGATTCCAAAATCACCCCACCTTAAATCATGTTAGCGGAGGGAAAAAAATGAAAATTCCCAAAAAATATTTGTGTATGATAAAAACGATTCACATAAGTAATTTTTCAGTTATTTTAGAATATCGTAAATAGGTCAGGTTGGCCATGAAATTCATAACAAAACTGTATTTGTCGACGTCAGGTGTACATTATAATAGCGCAAATTCAATATGGGTATCTAAATAATGTTTACAGTCTTTTAACTTGCAAAAAAAAAATTATATAAACGATTACTATATTTTCATTTATGTAAACAGTGCAAATATGGAAACGCACATCATACCACACCAGTGTTTTTCTAAAGTAAAAAAATTGTGTTTTCGAATTAAGGCCAAGGCACGAATTCGATAAACAATACTTTAATATAAAAAAAACATATTTCTAAACTTGTTTAATTTGACCTTTGTGCCTTTTGAAACACGTTCAAAATAACGCAAAACCTCACTTTCTAAAAATTATACATGTATGACAAACCAAATGGTTTCATTAATAATAAGACTGTTATAAAAATATCATTCAGCTCGATTCTCGTTTATGGTAACTCCTTATTTTAATCGAGTTAGTACGCTGGTGTTCTGGACCGATATGCACTACAATTGCCTATGGCAACAGCCGTTTAATTGGTTAACAAACGAACCTTTACTCACAAAATTGGTAATTTTATTAAATTTCAAACTATCTAAATGAAAAATGATAAAAATTAAATCGTGTTATGTTCATAATGATAGTCTATGAAAAATTGTAGGTTGAGATTCTAAAAAGCTTCTTTCAATCCGTGTAGATTATACCGTGTTGTAGTAATTGTTTTATTTATATCAAGATAAAAACTACTATTCAAGTCGACGTTATACAAGAAATGGTTATTCTTTATTTATCATCCAGTCGATTTTAAATTTGCTGTTGCTAAGCCACATATTACTATGACAGACAAACATTGTAATTAGCTATTTTAATAATCGAACCTAACCTAAGATTATTTCTAAATTTTTTTCAACCAAAAAAATCCATAATTAATGCCAATAAAACCCATATCGTTATTATACATTACAAAACCAAACGAATTTTTTAAAAGTTATTTAATGAGGTTTGAAATGTTGTATACAAAGACATACATAATCTATTCATATACATTATTTATTTATTTAATTAGTATACAAATTAACTATATAAAAAATGTAAGATAAAACAAGTTTTTTTCGAATTTAATTTATTTTTATTTAAAATTTCCCAAATCTAAATATACTATGAAAACTATCAATCGTCTAATTATTCTCCTTGATTTGATCATCAAGGACATAGATTAGATTGTCATAATTGTCAACTTCATAATAATTTCCATCAAAGTATCTGTATTTGAAGTATATGCGGTTTATAGCCGATATACAACAATTTACACCATCGATACCAGAAGTTACTATATATAAAGTTAGATTTTCAATTACTCTGAATAAACCTATTAAATGACGCATATTGAGATAAATTGCAAAATCTGGATCTTTTTCACCTAAAAAATACAAATTAAATTAAATTCAGCTTATTCGATATTAAAAGATAAAGTTTCATCTTTATGTTACTGTGTAATACGTCTTTTAATTAAGTGTATTTCAAGAAAAATCCAGTATCCACGTTGTTAACGCTCCATAGTTATATTATTATTAATTGATTAATGTATACAAATGTATACAGAAAATTGTACATAAAATGATAAACAAATTTGATGTGCAAATTTACTTATTACAGTACGGATTAATTTTTTTATAGCTGGAAGAGTTGATAGTCTTCTTTTCCATCCCATTTTAGTACCTAAAAGCTACTTAATTGAGAGGAAATTCTAAATGTTAAATACTCCAACTTTAGGTATTACCGTCGAATTAGTTACAAATTTTTATAGAACTTTGAACAAATTGTATTTTTTAGAATACATTTTTACTAGTGCATAACCATTATACGTTATGATTAGACTAAAAAATATAATAAATCCTCACCCTGAAAATTGTTTTTGTATTTCCATTTTTTGAGCGTAGCAATGAGACTAGTCTCAGAATTTCTAAAACAAAAACTTGCCCATTTTTGGTTGAACTTGTTCATAATTAACCAAGCTGTACCTCTATAAATATACATGTAAAACTGTGATTAGTGGTTACCTTCGTTTATCTGAGGTGCTTCGACACCTATAACCAAAAAATAAAGCAAACAATTATACCATTAAAAAAAATTGTATTATCCATTTATAACAGTTTTCCAATAATTGGGGAATATTTAGATAAATTATTCAACATAATATAATGTCAAAACTTCTAGCAGCCGCGTTTAAGTTAATGACTTTTAATAAGTTATGAGCCACCATCCAAATCTTAATGAAAAATCATAATATATAAATACAACTTTGAACTTTAATAGAATATTTATCGTTTTTATTGCAACCATACAATTATTAAATTTAATCTTTGTTCGTATGCTAATGTAGGTTTTTATATTTTATACCTGTAACAGAATATATATGTGATCACGATAAGACGTTGGCAAGTTGTCCTGTCTAAAATTAAAAACAAAGTATATTTTAATGTAAATCATATTTTTATAATAGAAATCAATATTGAAATTTATGATTATTCACAAAAAATATGAACAATTTATTAATAAGTATTTACCACGCATTGTATCGTCAGAGATTTGGTTTTTGAAAATAAAACTGAAACATTTTATATTTAATCAATATCGAATCTTATCGAATGTTGAAGTAATTTCATAACTTGCTAAAAACATTTATTACCCGGCAGTCCTAGCATAATAGTCATTTCCACTGGAAAAAACATAAAATAAATGTATTATATTTAAACACATAAATATGAATATTTTATGAATTTTGAGCAAAATATGTTTGAATATAATTTTATGTCATATATCTTCATCAACTAGCATGATATATCATTATCATTATTCATTTATTTGCTATATTTTTGAATACCCTTGACTTAAATCTCAGTTTAATAAATTTTTTAGCATTTGTTTAAATTCTTTTAAAGGAATTTTACTGATTATATGATATAATTAAAACACAATAAATGTTTAGCAACAAGAGAATTTCGCACTTCTTGATTACCTATTTATGTTCTTAACATGTTCTTTAATTCTAGTGGCTACCATTTCACCTAACATTCCTTAACTTGTTTTGTTACCAGTGAATTATAAGTGAGTTCTATTTAAATTATGGAAACTGTGCCTTTGAGTATAATAATAAATTTATTGATTTAAGTCATTTAAGTATTAGTAGGAGTTAGTAGCATCCGAGAGCCAAGTTTAAGTAAAAATGAAGACGTCGACATTTGAAGATGGGATTTGTGAGTTTAGTGACGAAAGTTTGTTGTTTACACTACGGATATTTTGATAAAATAAAAAATGTTATCCTTTAATGTATTAACCTCGCTTTTTAGATGTTCGTTTTCTTTAGCTAAATTAGAAATGCGTTCTAACAAATCATCAACTTTTTTACCCAGACGAGAGAATTTATCATTGATAGAGGTAACCAATTTGTTTTGCGATGACTTAATATCGTTGATCGAAGAGATAAGTGCGTCCAATTTCTCCTCCATGATTAAAACGGGATGTATGCTATAGTGATGTATGCTGAGAGGAAATGACAACAAGCGCCTTGATAAGCACCACACGCCTGGAGCAGTTTGAATATGCAACACAATTTACAGTATGAAAACCGTCGCTACAGTCGTGTCCTTGACACGTGCCGAGAGCAGTACGAAAATAGCGCAGAATGAAATAACGAGTGTGTAGTTATGGGCCGTGGACTTCGGACAACGATAAGAAGAACTAAAATGTATTTACCCAATAACCTCGTACACAACAAATTTTGGTCTTATCGAAAAAATATTGGGCAGACTGACTCAAAACCGACACCAGTCTGCACGCGCACTTGTTATACAAATTCTGATTTAAAAGACGTAAAAAACGGACTATTACTTTCAAAGAAAATTCAAAGTTAAGACGGAGTTTAATTTGTACTATTGTAACGCTAAGAAGTTTTACTCTATCTTTGTTCCGTTATGACAACCCACTCTTGTGTCACAACGTTTTTCTTCGCTAGACTAGTGTTTTCGGTTCCCTACTCTGCTGTCTCGGTGCAATTATTTAGGTCACATCTTTATCTTTTCAGGCAAGTATCTAGAGTTATAGCCCGTTCCTGACTTTGTTGTACAGGTGTATTTTTGGCTGTATCCATACGGGTTTTAAGGGAAATCAAAATATTTATTAGAATACTAGTTGCATTTACTAGTTTTAACTTGTTACTTTTCTCAATATTGGTAATGTCTCACCAAAAGTATCTAGTAAGCAAGTATGGACCGTTCTCATACTATAATATTCATTAGTTATTAAACTTCGTTTGGATATAAAATGCTCTAGGGTATGATTTTTAGCATATCCATATTGTAATTCGCCCAATGAACTAAGTATAAAAAAATTAAAATACCAAAATCCAATAGTGTACAATATGACGTATAATATCTCATATATGACAAAATAATAACATGAAATAACCTAATTATTAATAAAAGACATTCCATTTTTATCGTTATGTAATTGTTTAACAATGTTTGCTATCTAACACAAGACATAGTAATACGTCTGTTACAAAGTTTTCGAAGATACCTTTTATTTGATTTAGAAGTCTCTCTTTTTCATCGCCTGTGAATTCCTGAGTATTTTCCCATAAAATATCCACTCCTTCCATGGTTATGATGGACTCACCATTATTTATTAGTTCATCATTCATTAATCCGAGAACCATAAATTTTGCAACACTTATCAATAGTTTGCTTGCTACTTGACATTCTCCATAGACAACTATTATCTGTTGTTCTCTCCAAAGGGTAACAAGATAATTTGGATCTAATTTGCTTGTGTTATCTGTGCACGAATATGAAAAAATATTTTAAAACCAGTTATAATAATGTATAATTTATAATTAAACTGTGCCACGAAATAAAACTCGCTAGGATCAGGGCCATATTTTAGATTTTAGGGTATTTTTTTTTTAAAGATATACATCAAACATGAATGAAATGTGCATTAAATATTCGTTCTTATTTACTTATTTCGCTAAGTTCAGTCACGTAATTATATTAAACGTAAATAAATCAGGAAAACCCCCCCGATTTTCATTAATCCACGTAGAATTTTAATACAGTAATTTCAAACAGGCTTGGCCTGTTCATCAACCAATTTACAGTCAACCACAAGTGTGGGTTTTAGATATTAAAATCCCACAAAAAAAAAAAAATATTAATTTTATTCTGTAGAATGTATAATAAAATACCAAAAAACATTTTGAAAGAATAATTGAGTTTAGTCTTGATTACAAAATAGTTTGATCGGATGTTTCTAAATACATCATTCTAAATTTAAATTACTATGTATGTGTTCTAAATCTACTTTCTGTCATATTTTTAGACCATGTTTACAGCAACTATTTTCAAAATGTATATTTCTTAACGATTAAGTTTTTCTAAATTCTACTGAGAATTCAATAAATGTAGGTTTCCTAAACCCGCGCTCAAAAAAAGAAAAAGAAAAAAGAAACAGTGGTATCTACAGAATGGAAATCGGATCAATTTAATTAACCTACTCTTCCTTTTGCGTATTATACAAAAATAATGATTTAGATACTTACAACGACCAGTACTGTTATCGAATAAAAAAAATCTGGTTAAATTAGCCTCAAGAAGCCTGCGTTTAAGATTAACTAGAGGTGGATAGGTTAACTCCACGAAATTATTTTCGTCACAATCCTGGTACTTCCACTCCTTTTCCGCCACCTCGTACTGCTTCAAAAACTGCAGCTCTTTGGATTTATCTTCCAGGGCACACTTAGCATCTAATAAAATCTGAAAGACATATATACATATAATTAGTTCTATAAGTATTATCATAGAGTTATCAACGACTGTCCTCAAATACCAATAGTATTATAGTATAACAGTTTTGCAGCTTTTGTGAAAGATCAAAGACATTTTAGAGGTTCTGGGAATTAGTGAATGCCTAGTTTAATAAGCTACCTAATTATAGTTTGCATGATATCATGATACAAGTCGTTTTAAGTAAAATTATAACTATAGACAAAAAGGAAAATATTAATATTATTTCAACATTTTGAAGATAATATGCGTGTTGCTATGGAAACAACCGAGTACAAATAGTTTTATACATTTTTGAACAATATTCATACTTGTTATATTTTAAATAGAATGTTGCACTTACGATGAGGCCAAAGGAATAAATTGCAAACAACACGACACAACGAAGACGCATGTTTGAGTTGATTACCAAAAAATACCTATAACAAAAAGAAACAATAATAGGGTCATTCCATACCAAATCACCTAATGTGTGTGCGAGTGGATTTTTGAAATGCCTCAAACTTACATATCCTATGCAAACAGTTCCATAAAATCAATAAACAAAAAAATGAAGAAAACATTTTTTAAAACACTTTTGGGACTTAGGCGATACTATATTTCTGATATTTGCTGTGAAAACACCTTAAGTTCACGATCGCCTTACTTAATGACTAATTATGATATCGTAATGAATCTTTCACTAAACAATTTTAATTTAAGTGTTCTTTTTCATAATATACTTGAACATTTTTTTAAATATTTAAGTACTAAAAAACTGAAAAACAAATCCAATATTTTTCGAATTTCATTCAATTTTTTTACTGATTTAAGGTCAAAATTTCAAAACTTTTTTTTTTTATTCTGATACATCAGACACTACTTGTTTGATTCATAACTTTTTTTTAACATTTTTTTATTTTTTTTTTTGTAGGTAACATTTTAGTTTGACATTTTACTAAAAAGTGATATATTTAAGAGCCTATAACTCATTATTTCCCATTGTAGTCCTACAATAAAACGGTTTAGAAAATTCTCCATTATACAACTTTTACCAAATGTTCTACATACATAAACGTAAGTGCTGTAAAAATTTCAAAATTTTTGGTTTATGTAATAAAAAGTTATAGATTTTTAAGTATAGAACTATTAAATAAAATGCCAAACATTGAAGTTGTTTGTAAATCACAAAAAAAAAACAAAAAATTCTAAAACAAAGTTATGAATCAAAAAAATATAGTATGATGTATCAGAATAAAAAAAAAAGTTTTGAAATTTTGACCTTAAGTCATTAAAAAAATTGAATAAAATTCATAAAATTTTTAATTTGTTTTTCAGTTTTTAAGTACTTAAATATTAAAAAAAATGTTCAAGAATATTATGAAAAAGAACACCTAAGTCCCAAAAAAATTTTAAAAAATATTTTTCTTCATTTTTTTGTTTTATGGAACTGTTTGCATAGGATATGTAAGTTTAAGGCATTTCGAAAATCCCCTCGCACACACATTAGGTGATTAGGCATGGAATGACCCAATATTTATTATTTTTCATAGACAAACACACTTATCAATGGTGGTATGAAATTATAAATCGTAAACAGTAAATGGCACATTATAGATTAATACAAGTAACAAATTCATTAATGAGTTAGTCAAATATTTGTTTATTAATATTCGACAGATATATACACACGTCTTATATTATTTACTCAGCAATAAAAAATCCATATTAGTTATCGATATTAGTTTCCAGTTTTGTACAAAATAATGTCCTGCGAAATATACGTTTCCGATAAACTGAGCAGTATTATTGCATAGAATCTTTTCGATAAAAATACATGGTACCAATTTATAAGATATTGAATTTTAAGTTCTTGTTTATAATATAATAAAAGTTGTTATCCGCTATCGGTTGCCGTGTTGTCAGTTTTTATATTAGATAACGTCCGATCGTTTGCTCGCGGTATACCCATCAGCCACAGGCCAAACATGTTTTATTTGTTACTTGTTAATTAAATTATTTATTATTTAGCAAAATGTATTTATTTGTTCTACAGTAAATTTAAATTATTATCGAAAAATACAATAAATAAAAATATTTTAATCAAACAGTTCTTGTATATGACGCTACCTACTTCCGAAACTTCAATGGTAAATTGCAGAACATTTTGTTTTTAACTAGTCGGTAACCTATCTGCAATAATTACTTTTAAAATGAATAAAGTTTTGAAATCAGGACGGGAGGGCAAGTTCGGTTGAGTATTGCGGGCAGACAAAAATAAACACAACACTCCACCATTACTTCGGCCTAAGACTTTAATAATTCTAAAACTAATTATTCAGAGTTTATCGATCAACAAAATAATACAATAAAAATAAACTTAGCTTAAAACGCCAATGAAATTATGTGCAGTCAATTTTTAAATGACGAATGCACTCTGAAACATACCAAAAAAAAAAAAAAATTATTTAAAATGTTACTTACTTTGTAGTTGTTTGATAAACCTTATAGGTTGAGTTATGTGTGAGAAACTCAAAAAATCACTAGTACAGTTTATGATCGGTTTGACTTTATGTAGTTAGTTTTGTGACTCTCCTCCACTTGCCGCATTTTCTTAAATTGCAATAACACTCCTTTTGCAATATATTGTGTTTACACAGGATAACCAATCGGGTACTATTGTAGATGGTAAAACGGCTCTTCGCTACCCCCACTTTGTCTGGTTAGTCCAATGTGGTTCTAACACAAATGTGACACACGTATATGATATACATTTTCTATAGCGGCCATTGTACAGTGAGCCGTGCATTGCAAATTATATTCAATTTGAATAAACTATAGACTAGAATTATTAAAAAAATATTTAATTTGAAACCACCTATTTTTGTTATACAATCAAAAGCAACGTTTAAAAAATTAACCAAAAAGTATTCTTTAAAAGAGTCATTTTCACCTTGACATGATTGACAGCTGATTGTAACGGCCTTTTGTTTCAACAGTAAGGTGTTCAGCCTGGTCGAAGTGAATAAATAAAATATGACCCAAGCTTTTAAAATTGTATATCTTACGTGCAAATTTGAAATATTTAAGATTTCAATCAATGTTGGCGATCACGATTTACGCTTATTTGAATTGTTTTCTAAATGAGTTTTCTTTGTACAAAATACGGTTTAAAAAGCATATTCATTATAACAACGAAATGGTGTCAACGCAGTATAATATTAAAAAGCAGTAAATAGTGTTTAGATATTCTTTCTAATTTTCTTTTTTTCACAATTATTGTGAAAAGAATAAAAATATCAATTTTTTTTAGAAATCGCCCTAAATTTTCGGCAAAATAGTCTTTATTAAAAAAAGTGAATTATTTGTCTATGGTACCATTTAAGTTTAAAAAGTCGGCCTTCGATGGACTTTGTAGACCCAAAGAATAGATATTATACGTTTTCAGTCGGTATTTTGCTATATTCGTTTTCTTCGACTACTTTTTGCGCATCGATGAAAAATAATAAACCGTCATAAAACAAACACTTTGTACTAATACACGTGCACCTTTTCATTTTCTCTTAAGATAATCGCATTTCTAAGTTTTTACAATAATTGGAAACACTTAATTGACTGTGGACAACACCTTGAACAAACGTCCGTCGCTGGCCATGACGTACAAAATTCGGGGCAGAGGGAAAATGGCACCTATTAAACTGCAGTCCGAACAATTTAAATTTTCTCATATGCTCTAAACACTAAATTATTGTTATTATAATTTTGGTTAAACGAATTTACGTTGTTGTGAGTGCGGATATGGCGCCCACGGTGACCATGTATTCGATAAACGGTATTTCCAAGTGTTCGTCAATAACTGGCAGCGGAGCGACAGGGTCCTAACAGAATGACGTAAATAACATCTATACATATAATATTTTTAATTTCAATCAAAGCGTACTTTGCTCGACATCGAGGTCATACCCACGTCACAGTAAACCGAGGTAATGCATGCAAGGGAAATCACTAGGTTAATAACATGGGTTGCTATGCGTCAGTGAGTAATTAGACAATGCAAATATTTCATTATATTGTTAACAACGATACACGGGTTATTATAACAATACATTTATACAGAGAGAAACTATTTTATGTTTATGACCAATTTATAAAGATAACATAATGTTTAAACTCTGCTTTCTTTTTTACTTGTGTTCAACTCCTTGGGGAAGCAAGTCCTTTAATGTGTAAAACCTCAAGCGTAATTGTCATTTAAATGTATTGTAGTATGTTAAGTATGTAATCAGTAGAATGTACAACTAACAAACTGAGAGCATTCACTTGTTTTTCGTTGATATATAACCATAAATGAACCATTTAATTCTTTAGTCACTCTTACATTATAAATTCCAATAGAGAAGAGTGGTTTTATCTAACGACTAAAAATTGTTTAATTGAAATAGTCAATGTCAACTGGTTTCACCAAAGTGAATACATTTAAAACAAAAATGTAACAAATGTAACCCTAATCATATCCACCCTTAAACTAAAAATTCATTTTTAAGCACATAATTGCCATTAGGTACAATGCTTTTATCGATATTTGTTTTTTTATCTGTGATCACTATATTGCTCTGAGGCCCAAATTTGGGTTTCCAAACCATAATATGTAAGATTTTATTTTATGCTCTGAATTTTCGTTGTATGTTATAAATGCGTAAACAACACACGGTTAGTAATATTTTTTTTTGCGTTTTATTTAACTTAAATTCGTAACGGTATTTTCACATACAAAATTTAAAACATAAAAATGTATATTTATTTTCTTTATCGGGAAACTACGTATTGAAACAGGTTTTAAAACACGTATTGAAAACACGTTTTAAGTTGTATTATTTATTTAAAATAAGAAAATTACTTGTTTTGATTTATTGTTTTGTATGCTTGTTCAAACAGTTACAGCTATACACCAATATCCTAAATAAGAAAATATTCGAAAACAAAAACAACATCTTTTATCATCGAACTAGTTAAATTATTTGAAGTCTCCAACGTTAAAACGATTTTGATAATTATTATACATTATTGTTGTATGTTATAAATGCGTAAACAACATACAGTTAGTAAAATTTTTTTTTTTGCGTTTTATTTACCTTAAATTCGTATCGGCATGAAAAAACATGAGTCATATGAGTCATAATAATACACATAAGGAAGCTCCTTAATGGTAGATGTACTCAGATTTTCGTACTATTTAATGCATTAGTATATAAAAGGTCTTGGAATTTTTACTATGTTAAACATATTCGATATAGACACAAATGTGTTGTATACCTTAGGGTAGAATTGACAGAAATGAGAATATTGTAAATATATTTATAATATATTATTATTTATATAATATTAAAAAACTATGAATTATCATGAGTACATATATTTTTTGTATTTTATTTTTATCCATATTCTTAAAATCGGTCTTAGAACACCTAAATGGGAACCCCCAATTTTTTTTGGATATTCTGTTAGATTATTAATTTTTTAAGATATTGTTGGTAAAATTTTAAATTGCTGCCAAGTAGTTTTTGTAGTATTATCGCTCAAAAATGACAAAATTTGACAATTTCATGCTTTTTGTGAGAGCCAAGCTTCCACTTGCAACGTTAGTATACCGTATCAATAAACCGTCGTTACACCGTATCGGACATAAATTATCGTTTAAGAGTAAGACTGACAGGTTATTATATACGAATTGTTATGAGTTCATTTCCTATCAGCCCTGATATTATGCGGCATTAAATATTATTATTATTCGACTTGTTGTTGACTGTATTGTAGTTTAATTTTCTTATTTATACAATAATTTTAAATATTAATAAACTTAAATTTAAATTTGATTTGTTATGCATTACTATAAAATATATTTGCCTTTTTAATATTTTGTGAGCGTTATTAACATTGCAAATCATTTTATTTTATTGGGATTATACTAATCACGATTAATTTCTGAAACTAATACATTTATTCTATAATAAGTTTATTTTTAAACGTTTTGAAAACAATTTTGTTTTTTTAAGTAGTATAATGTTTAAATAAATAACATAAAATTAATAAAAACGGAGTTTAAAAGTTATATAAATAATAATAATAATTTTATAAGATTTTGAATATTGATATATTTGAATTTAAGTTGTATTTATGGTATGCATTACTATAATATTTGCCTATTTAATGTTTTGTGAGCGTAATTAATATTGCAAATCGTTTCTAAAACTAAAATATTTAATATTATTAATATTTTATTTAATACATTATTAATTAAATATTCTATTATAAGTTGATTTTTAAAACTAATTTTGTTTAATTAAGTAGTAGTATGTTTCAATAAATAACATAAATTAAATAAAAACCGAATTTAAAAGTTATATAAATAAATAATTTATAATGATATAATAAGATTTAACAACTATAATTATATTTGCTACTTATAATGTTTGCTAATTATAATATTTGTCAATTGTAAAAAATTATTAAAAGAAATTTTAGCATAATGGTTCCTCGCCACTACCACAGACAATTCAGAAAGAGGAGAAAATTGTTGTACCCCCTCCCTGAATTACCTTGGCAGCAGTGAGATCTTTCAGTACTAACGGTTTGATAGGATGTCCGACCCCAACCTCCTCGACTTGCATTGCACGTTCCCGACGAGTAAATGTGCCCCCATCACACAGATCCCCGAAGAAAACGCACAAATTAAACCGAGCTTGGATGAGATACGAACTTGTCACCTTATCTGAAATAATTATGAAGTGCCTAACCAAACGCGCCAGTACCCAAGATGACGTCATTAGGCGGTATTGACACTTTTAAATCGATTCGTATCTAGTCATCATCGAAAAAGACTAGATTATTTCTTATTTAAGAGGGCGTCAAAGCAAAAGTGAAACGAAACCTATTTGACCATAACCTATTTGATTTTTTTCATTTGATTGAAGAATAATTACTGAAGTGCAATAAGTGCAGTACCTATCTAATTTGTTTTTATTTAATAATGTAGTGTAGTTATGATACACTATTTTACATGTTATAATTTACATATTAAAAGCGTTTTGGTGATATTAACAGTTTGTTCTGTTGATTATTGTTAATTGACCATTAAAAATTGTAATTAATAAGTACACAATAATTAATTACACATGAGTAAGATATTGATTGAAAAACCTGAACAGATGTTATAAAAGTAAGTACCTACTGTTATTTTGAACAGAAATATTTTTATTTCTTAAATTTCATGAGTTAATAATTTATTATCATTGTCAGGTAACAGAAAACTTTGTAATAGTGGCAATACGATGAACTCCCGTATGACAAGAATTTAGAAGCCTGAAGCGCACAAAATCCATTGATTAATTCCAGATTTGCAGTACAACAATAAAAGATATGCATTTGTCTTAAACATACACATAATAGTAAGTTTTTAAATATCCTATTTAATTAAAATGAATATAAATCATGGTTTTACCTATTTGTTTCAGGTGAAATTGGCTATATTAGAAAATACTTTCTTTTAGGAAAAATGTTATCAATGTCATTTAATATCAAACCACTGATATGA